ACAGCATGAAATTTTGTTTCATGCACACAATTATTCACAACATTGTATAAAATTACCTTTGGGCTCCGAGCACAAGGTTCATATGGAACATAGATGGATTTTGTATTTAGACTTGTGTCCCGTCCAAAGTATCTCATTATGTATGTGTACATTTCCAAAATCTGAAAAAATCCAGAATCCAAAACACTGCTGATGTCATATATGAAGGGATACACAACCTGCACTATATCCAGGAAATTTGAGTGTAGGATGAGGAATATTCCACTTGAGTCATACAATGTTCAAAGATGCTTAACTTGCTGGACAATGAGACGTGGAACACAAGGGTAACCTGTCAAGTCCCAAGTAAACTAGAGCTAAGAGTATTCCACACACATTTCCTGTGGATAGATATAAGGCTGGACAACTTTACCCCATGCCAGTTCAGACAGGGTGGAATCACATCAAACATTAGACTAGATTTCAAGATCAGCAAACAAAGCAAACATTATGTGTAATTAAGATGGAAAAAAAAGTGCTCCAATGCACCTGCAGAATGTATTGTGTGTGTGTGTGTGTGTGTGTGTGTGTGTACCAACCCAAAAGAACATCAGAGTCATATCTGTTTCCACTATTCTTGGGCATATGCGTTGAGTGGAGTGGCAGGTGGAATCACCCACAATATTGTAATGTTCTATTTCTTTCAAGTGCATCTGAATTACAGATCACATTACTTAAATGTGCATATGATGCGACCACACTGCAAGTGGGAAGGGGAGATGTGCACACGCAAGGTCTTAAAAAAGTACATCACACAGGGAGAGGCAATGTTCACCAAGAAGTGCAAAGGAAAATATCCTTCTTAAAATAATTTTTTGTGTCAAAACAGGGAAAATAATTTTGGGGTGCTCTCAATAAGTTGCCAGTGTGAGATGAAGCCAAAAAATAAAAGAGGCTAAATGAGAGAGTGACACAATTCTTGAAACATGTTCTAAAGTATTTCTAGATTTTCTAAATATTTTATAGTGTTTCTCAGTCCAGGCGACCACACAATTTCTCCTATTGTACTAGTAGTTCCTTGTCTGTCTTTTTTCTCCTTCCCCTTCATCTTCCCAGCCTCTAAATTTTGGGCTCCCACTGGTCTTTGTCTTTGGATCTCTTCTTTCCTATGTATATAATTGCTTACTTGATGTTGCTTCCATTCCCATGGCTTTATAGACTATGTATTATGGTTCAGATATGAGGTGTCTTCCAAAAGCTCATATGAGAGACAATGCAGGAAAGTTGAGAGATGAAATGATTGGGTTATGAAAGCCTCAACCTAATTGGTGCTTTAATCTCTTGGGTAGGGATTATCTGGGTGGCAACTCTAGGCAAGTAAGTTGTGGCTGGAGGAGATGGGTCACAAAGGGGTGTGACTTTGGGGTGTATGGTAAGCCCAGCTTATAGGTTCTCTCTGTTTTCTAATTGTCATGTTCTGGACTGCTTTCCTCTGTTATATCCTTCTGCCCTAATGTTCTGCCTCATTTGGGATACAGAGCCAAGGAATCAACCACCTATGGACTGAGATCTCTGAAACCATGAGCCCCAAATAAACTACACCCAACCCCTGTAATTGTTCTTGGCAGATTTGTTGGTCACAGTGGTAAAAATGCTGACTCAACCACTATATATACCCTGATGGCTCTGCATGTATATCTGAAGCTCCAAGCTCTAGAGTCACCTATCAATCACCCATCTCACATTCCCACTCTGATGCAGTAGGCATCTTAGGCAAATGTGTCTAAGAATGACCCTTTGATTCCCCATTTCCAACATACTCTCTCTTCCTTCCACATATCCCATCTTTGTCAGTGGTCACTATTTATCCAATTGCTCAGGTCAAAAATCTTGTATCAATCTTCATTTTCTCTTTATTTATTTATTTATTTTTTTATCTCTCCATGTGTAATTCACCACCAAATCCCACTGCATAAATATTTAACATATATGCACCATCAACCTGATCATCATCTTTCTTGGTACCATCCTGGTCCAGGCCACCAGCATCTCTTTCTTGGATCACTGCCATCTTTTAACTGGTATTCCTTCTTCTACTCCAGACTCACCCACACTGTTCTTCTCATAGTAGTCAGTGATACCTTTTTAATCTACAAATCAGAGCATGTGTCTCTTTAATTCCAAAGTTTCAGATGGTTTCCCCACTGTGGCTAGAGTGAAAATTTCAAGTCTCCATGGCTTTTAAGACTCTCCCTGACTCCTCCATCTGACCCTTGCCCAAGTAGTCTTCAGTTAAATCTTGTGATTTTGTGACTTTGCCCCCAGCTACCTTTTTTTTTTTTTTAACTAACTTTGGATTTGGGGCTTTTAATAGTTCCCAGAACCACACTAAACTCTTCATCTTATAGGAACACTTTTGTTTGCTAGTTCCTTCATCCTGCAACCCCCTTTTGTAGTTTTAATACAACTGGCTCTGTACAGCAATGACAAAAAGCCATTTGCAGAAGAGAAGAGTATAATCAAAAGAACTAACCAGGATTTACTCCACACTTCAGATCTTCAGCACCATTGATTCAACTGTGTTGGAAAGAAGAGGGAAGTTGTTGTTTAAATCAAATTTGTGAGTGAATTGTTAATCAAAATACATTTTTAATAAAGCAAATATTGCGTGATTTGCTCAACTGTTGTAAAAAATACAGATGGAAAATTCACTATAGCATAGTGGAAGGCAAATTTTGAGGTGATATTTAGAAGAAAGAATTAAAAATATTTTGTATTCATGGCACCTCCAATTGATACTTCTCAACAAGAGTTCCTGTGGTTTCAGAGAAAGCCAGCTATGCATACTTTTATCAGAAGCAACCACATTGCAAAACTTCTGTATTGGTTCTAATAATAGTTGATTCATTTAAGTTTTCTCAGTAGTGTATCTGGGATATATTACAAGAATATTGTACCCCAATTGAGCAGTAGTATGCATGAGGCAATGGAAAAAAATCTTAAAATGTGGATAGTCAGAAAATGGAACTTTCCTTTAATAAAATAAAACAAAACAATGACATACTTCAATTGATGAAGGTGGAAATTTAAACCATAAACAACTCAAGAAAGGTAAAACTCTATGAAAGTACCTGAGGTAAATATCAAAATCAATAAATCTACAGATGACATACATACTTGTAAATGTCAATTAGAAATATAAATGCATCAGTCAAAGCAGCTTTTTAAAAATAATTGCATATTATGAAATTAATCAAGCAATAAAAAAATGGATCTATTATTCCAAGCTGATTAATACTAATTAAGAAAAAAAGTAAAAATATACCAAATGTTTTATGGCAAATATTATTAGACTCAAGAGCTACTGAAAATCAGAAATGTGTGACTTAAAATGTCTCTCCGAAGAGAGACCAGGAGACTTAAAATGTCTCTCTGAAGCAGGCTCAGTATAATAAAAAGCTTTTACTTTCAAATCACTGTAGGATAGAAAATAAAAACCATAATGTTGATATAATTGTTAAGTATCTTTGTGAATTGAAAAACACCACCACCACATCACTTTCATTTTATACAATGTTGGTTGTAAACATAGGGATACAAACATAAATGTAATATGTTGTAGTCATTAACACTATATCCACTAATTTTTTTTTCAAAAAGCTTGGGCCCATAAAAGGATGCTAATATTCAGAAGATAAATTAATATATATTTATTTAATTTTTATTCAAAAGGCATGAGTATGTTTTTTGTTTATAAGTTCATAAAACGCTTAGAACACACTTAGCAGTATTAAGATACAAATCTTCAATAAAAATTTTCAAGTCATAGATATTGAACAGGTCAAAATGCCCTGAAGTCATACATGAATAAAAATATATTTTATTGCATTTATAAACTTTAATATCATTATTTTTATGCCTTTGTTTAGTATTTAGTATGCAAAATTTAATATGCCCAAATATTGGTGTTCTCCTTTTTCCTTATTAATAGAACAGATCACTTTTAGCGATAAACCAGAATGAAGACTTATTTCCCAGTTTCCCTTGCAGCTAGGTTCAGTCATGTGACTACATTTTAGCACAACTTCTAGTAAATATTCTTCCAAGGATGGGGTGCACTTTTCTTTATCACTTCCTTCTTCCTCTTGGTGGATTGGCGTGCAAGCAGCTGTCTGCGACTCTGGAGCCTCAGTGGAGGATAGCTAAGCGACAAAGGTGTAAGTAGTTGATGAAAAGAAGCAGCAAGGAGTGCAGGTTAATCTTCCAATAGGGCAGTAAAGGAAGTCTGGGGCTGAACCTTGTGGGAGAGAGTCAAGTTTGGGAGCCAGCGGATGGTGCCTTTTCTGGGATAGGGAGGGGAGGAGAGTGGAGAATCTGCAATGTTTGTAGTCTGAATTCAAAGAAAGATTTATCACACTAATTAGAACAAAGAGAAAAAGAAAGAGTTACCATTGAAGGGAGAGAAAAAACGGAACAAACTATTGGAACAAATATCTAAGAAGAGTTGGAAGATTATAGCAAATGGGGATATCTCCCAATGAATGGAGATAAATTTAAATGTGTAGGGTAAGGAAATAAAAAATTCAGTAGCATCAGTTTTTTTTTTTTTTAACTTAAGTAAACCATATGATAAAAAGCAGGGAAATAGACAAGCTTTAATAATATTTGAGGGGTTAGGAAATCAGCAAATGGTAGAGAGGAAAGAGAATGGGGAGTTTTCCCGAGGCCTTGGCTGTAAAGACCTGTCATGAACAGGAAGCAAAGCAATACAACTGTCATCGGCAGCACTTTGCAGCTCAGAAAGTAGAGTGGGTCATAGTGAATCATTAGGCTGTGAGGGAATCGACTACTTGCTGAGGCTTACAGAGCAGATCAAAGGGTCGGTGGAAATGAGTGTGTTGATGACAGCGTGGTTGAAATAACAAGTCATGAAGTCTACACAAGCTAGAGAATGAGTTGGAATAGGAGGGATTGAGAACCTGGTTAAATAGAGACAAGCAGGGAGCTCAGGCGTGGTCATGCGGTCAGTGGGTAGAGCAGACGTGAAGATGATGTGGCAACCAGGGAGCCTGTTGGTCCACCCAGGGAGACATAGAATGCAGGAGTTCAGAGGCAGAGCAGAGAGTCCAGGAGGTAGCAGTGGATGGAGTTAAAGCAAAGAGAGAGGGGAACAGTAAGAAGAGAAGGAATCAAAGCCTGTGAAGCTGAGATATGAAATACCTCATCCAAATGAAAGTTGAAGTCACCCACGGTTTTGAAAGGAAAAAGTTTAAAGAAGGAAATTGATCCAGGCCCCAACTTTGTTCCAGAGGCCGTGGCTGTAAACCAAAAACTAACAGCATGGAGATGTACAGTCACTGGAAATAAGCCAGTGAGCCAAACAACGGGTTTTTTTGTAAACGTAAAACCCACAAAATGTGTACCATTAGTTCCATTTTAAAGTATTTTAAGAAAATGTTTTTATTACTCTTTGGCCACTGAGAGTGAGATATGTTGAATCCTTACTGTTGTTATTATCTTCCTAAGAATAACAATATTTTGGTGGTTAGGACAGAGCCATGCAAGACCTCTGTGCTATTGATTTCTTACTTTTTTCTTATTCCAGTAGAGGGCACTCAAAGCTCAAATAAATGTGTATAATCATTTTTACTGCAATTGATTTATATAACTAAAACTCATATTTACATGAAAAAAGAGAAATTTTGATCTCCTAAGACTTAATTACTAGTCATGTATGGACATTTCACTAAAATGAGATGAGATCTTATGAATGGCAAAACAAGGACAGGCCTCCATGGACATTGCCTCCATACTCACTCAGCACCTACTAAAAATAGAAAGGACAGACTCTGGTCTAAAAAACAAGATGGGCTTCTAAACATCAGGCCTACAATAGATACTAGATCTTCAAGTTCCATTTCATTCCCACCTGGACCATTTTGAGAAGGGTTTTCAATAAACTAGGGATCATCTTGTAGGCTATTGGGCAGATAATATCGTTTAGTGAAACAAGTCTAAGAATTAAGGCAGAAATCATTTTGTAACTAGAGAAGCCACCTCTGGCAAATACATAGCACAGATGAATGAGATCACTGACAGAGAGTTTGCAGCCACTGTGAGCAGCCCACAGGAAGTACTTAGGACAGTGGTGTTTTAGAGAGCTGTGAAAATCTAAGTATCGTCAGTACTTGAGGGGAGACTATCTTCCAAGCACAAGATTAACTTCATGTGGCTTTGGCTGCCAATCTGGCAGGATGATAGTAGAAGATGTGAACAGTGGTAACAAGTGGTAACATCGCTGTCAGCATTTCATCAAACACCCTTCTGGAGGAGTTAGACCCTGGGGTCAAATGATTCTACAGTAATCATCTCTGACACAGCTGATCTAGGCTGCTATGATCCAAACACCGTGGCTTTTCCAAACAGAAGATGGTTTGGTTTGGCCTTACTTCTTATGCCATATAAGGATTATTTGTGGGGAGTGAATGGGAATCTCGATAGCATCCTTCGATGGTGGTGATCTATCAGTATGAATTAGCTTCTTTGGTAGAATTCAGTTAAAGGGAAGGGTCTTTTCTTTCCAGGTCTTTTTTTTTTTGGCAGGATGGTAACCCTGGCTTTCTAAAGAGTGTGTCATGACTTACTTGCAACATATTTTTTTCCAAAGCATTTGTTGCAAGATTCTGAAACATTACGATTTAAACAACTTCCCTTATCTGCCCTCTGCCTTCACCAGACATACAGCCATCCAAGCACTCATAAACTGAGCCTTGTCATTTCTGGAATATCTTAGGACTGGGGTTTTCCAGTCATATTATAGCTGCATCAACTCCCCTACGCTCAGCGTGCACATGCTTGTGGGATGAAGGTCTGAGAAGCTATGCAAAATGTATTTTTTTAAAAAACATGTTCCCTTTTCCCTAATAACATGGCAACACAAGATAAAGGATTTAGAATTTAAGACCCTGAGGGTGTCCAAACATCAATAATGAAAACTGAGCAACTTTAAGATTATGAGTTAAATATAGAATATATATTTATGTCTTGGTGTAAATGTTGGGCATGTCTAGCCTTGCCACATATTGTTGAAAGACCAGGGGCAGCTGTCTCATTGTTTATTCTTTTTCTCAGCTCTCTGACATTGACTTGATTTATAGTTGTTAAGTGATAAATTACAAGGTTGAGTTTAGTTTCTAACCCTCTGGTTAAATATTTCCCATTACCTGGTTAGGCAAGCTAAATATTTTATTTAAAATGACCGTGATGATATTAGAGCAGATTATGCTAAGTGAAGTTAGCCAATCCCTAAAAAAAAAAAATGTCAATATAAGGGAGGTGACTCAAAATGGGGTAGGGAGGAAGAGCATGAGAAGAAAATTACCTCTAGATAGGGAAGAGAGGTAGGAGGGAAAGGAAAGGAGAAGGGGAATTGCACAGAAGATGGAAGGAGACCCTCATTGTTATACAAAATACATGTATGATGATGTGAGGGGAAAAAACAGAAATGTGTCACATTAGATTGGGTAGAGAGAAGTGATGGGAGGGGATGGGAGGGGAAGGGTGGATAGGAAGGGCAGCAGAATAAAATAGACACTAGTATTGCTGTATTGTATATACGTGTCTGTATAACCAATGTGATTCTGCAACCTTGTACACTCAGAAAAATGAGAAATTATACCCCATTTGATTCAAATGTATGATATATCAAGATCATTGTATTGTCATTTGCAAGTAATAAAAAAAATAAAATGACTGCGATGATCATAAGAAAATCATTCAAATGTGAGTCATAATTTAGGTAGGACATTTTTTCCTCTGTGAATCCCAGTTACTCCTTTTCCATCTTAACCAAATAGTCTCCAGATTCTGTGCCTCTAGTGATGGTTTTTGTATCAGTCAGGATGGATTCTGCTGCAAGCAGCAAAAGACTTGTCAAAAAGTGGCTTAATAAATGAAGGCTGGTTATGGTCTTACCTAACAGGAAGCCTGCGTGCTGGGGGTAATTCTGGGGAAGTTCAGAGAGTCACTCAGTGATGTCATCTGTTCTGCAATAACCTTGGCTTTTTCTTCTGCAGGGTCACAAGATGGCTGTTCCCAGTATCACATTCTCACACATTGATGTTCAGAGACAAGGCTATAAGTATTTTTCTTATTTCCATTTTCTTAATGGCATGAAAAACTTTTCCATGAGTTCCAGACTTTACCTCACTGGTAAGCAGAGTGTAATGCACCCATCCCTTGGTAAATCACCTCTCCAGATAATAGAGTCACCAGAGATATAGATCAATCAAGATGCACCGGCGTAGAATTCCACCTGCCCTGGAATATGAGGTGAACATGAACAAAGTGAGGGTTCAGAGAAGAAAGGGTGATGGTGAGCGCTGTGAACGGTGATCCTGTGTGTATGACATTCCCTGCTCATCTATGCTGCTTGTAAGGATGCGCAGAGACCTGCTCAGTCACCCACTGAATGACAAGTATTTGTATCCAATGGATATAATTACAGTAGGTAGACACTGCCCTCATTACTCCACAGTTTGAACATATTTGCAGTTGGTTAAAGTACTTGGGAGCACACAAAAGTCCCCACATGTTCAATTCCTGCAGAAGGATCTCCTAAACCTCCTTTCACTCAATTGAATCCTGAACCTTAAAGACATCCCATGATATAGATCATGGTAGAAGTTGCTGCATGGTTACTTCAGGAATCTCGCTAAAGTATGAAACCAGAGGTGACTTATGACCAGGAGAAAAGCCACACAGCTCTCACTTTTGGTCCTTTTACCTCTGGCCTCACTGCGTGAGGGGGATGGAGAGAGAATGGGGCAAGAGGAGACTAGAGTTCCTCCTTCTCTGAGTCCAGCTGAGCTGGGCCTGTAATTTGGAGTTCTAAGAGACTGTCACAATGGAAGAGAAACTGAGTTCATCAATTATAAGAGAGCTGAGGTCCAAAATACCAGAAGGTGAATCAGGATGTTCTCAACAGTCAGAGGAGCAGGGCAGAGGCGGATGTCAGTTGAGAAATGGATCAAAAAATTCAGAGCCAGGACACTGTGAGTAAGAGAAAGCACACCATGATCAAGGGAACAAGTGGAGAGAGGGAGAACTGAGCCCTGGATGGACATGTGGGTCCCTCAGCCTGGCTGAACTGGGAGCAGCTGAGATAAAAATAGTCCTGGGAGTTGTTTACATCATCCAATTATTGAGGTTTTGACAGCACCAGCAATGAAAACAAGAATACATTTCTAATTCTCTAGAAGTTGAGAGTGCTTTTTTTGGAATCCAAAGCTATTTATCCTCCAAATAATCTGAGGTTCTGTCAACTGCTTTGCTCTTGTATTTTAACCTCATCTTACTCAAGATGATTTCTAGATTTAGGTATCATTATTCACAGACAGTAAAAATATGTCTTCAGGACAAATGAGTTGACATGAAATCTTTTGTGTCTGCCCACCTATTAATGCATAAACTCTCAAAGGAGTAACCTAAAGATACTATGCATGTAAATTTGGGTTCAGATGACAATTTAGTCTACAGATTCTCACTATGTGGAACAAGTAAGCTGTCTTTTCTTTTATGAAAAATCAGAATGGTTTTGGAGTGGTGTGCTTTCTCTTACTCTCTAACCATATCTGTGTCTATATCGCAGTTGGGAAAACTTGTGGTTTCAAATGACAAGACTTGAATAATAGTAACTTAAGAAGTAGAAGCTAGCATTTCTCAGGTGACAATATGTTTGAAGGCAGATAGTCTGAGAACCGCTCTTTTATCTTTTTGCTCTGCCATTCTGAACATGATGGCTTATTGCCTCAATGTTTGAAAAAAAATGTCTACTTCAGCTCTAACCATCACATCTCACATCTGTGTTCAAGGCAAAAGGAAAGAAAATTGCTGGCACCCTCTGTCTTTGTATCAAGAAAGGATATACTTCATTGGCCAATAGTGAGTCCCGGTGCTTGCTACAAAGAAAGCTGAGAAAGTATCTATATTATTTTTTCATTCTTTGGAAAGGAGATGGCCAAAGAAGAATGAGGTGTAAATGAACTTGTCTAACAATGACTGCCACACCTTGCTAAAATAAAGGCCC